ATCTAGTGTTAAACATTAAGCTTACTAATACATTAAGAAAAAAATAAAATAAAGAAATAATTAAAATTTCTAAATTGATCAATTCTCTGATTTCTGTCGCACACGTGCATAAAATTGTTCAGGCCACTTTCGATGAGGAAACAAATTGGCGAATTAATTGCACGACAGTTAAACAGTATAATACGCTAAATTTATCATATTTTCAATGCGCACGGATATTTTAGACCCGTTAAATAAGTCCATTTGATGCCAGGAAATGGTAAACGTGCTTCGACGTATATAAATATTTTACGGGCACAAAGGATTGCGATAGAGAACATGAAATAACGTTTATCGACGGAATAGGCGGGATTACTTTTAGAGCTAATCTTAACGATTTTCGACGAATGCAAACAGCCGGATTCGGATTGGTCGCGATAATCCCCGCGTACACGGCGTTACGCAAACGCGAGGGCGTAAAGAAATAACGCAGCGGCGTAACGCGAGCCGAGTCGAAGGGTCGCTACGAACGAACGGGCCGCGTGTTAATTAAACGGATCGACGATTACGTAAACGCGCGAGCCGCCGCGAAGAGTGGGAGGCCGTTAATTAATTCAAATAATAGGACGGTCAGCGTGGCGATCGAGCGAGCTTCCATTAATTTCAAAATACGATATCTCGGCATCAATCCCGCGTACACTCCTCTGCATAAGTCACGGATATACACGAAATGTACAAATGGTAAACCGAACGAAACCTGCAATTATAATAATCCCTCATTTGTTCGTTTAATCCGTCATATAATAATATCTCTCCTCTACTTATTTTATCACTGAAATTCATTTTGTATGCATCGAGTTTATTCCTGGATTTCCAGCGAATCGAAATTAATTTATATTTACAGTTTAATGAACGAAATTAAAACGACGAGAAATAACTCGTTAATTTTGAATCTGAATACACAAGGAAAACTGTATCAATTTTGATAAAACAGCAAAATCAAAATGAAATTTTAATTGAAACTCTTGAGGAATATTCGTTCATTTGAAGCTGCCTAATATGATTGGAATTCAATGTTTCATATACAATTTTATATAGGATCGTTTTGAACAGTTGAAAATTTGTCTGACTTCTGAAGAGGAGTGTAGACAAGATACACGCTGTATGCTGAATTCACGTGTCGCACGGGCTCACGCGGCACGCGGGACACGTGCCTCTCGTGCCGTGGCGGCATCGTTAGCCACGTGATCCCACGAAGATAGCACAGATGAGGGATGGGTAGGAATCCCTTTGTAACAGGTGAAAACGAGCCGCGGTTTGTCCTTACACCGCGTAACTATGTTTTTAACCGATTCCCGAAGGACGTCCTGCGTAACCCTTTCAAGCACTCTAACGACCGGTATCACTGCAGCAGTGGAGGAGCCTTTTTTTTTTGGCGTATCGCATTTCATTATTTTTGTAAAAAATTACTTTATACAGTTCATTTACAGGCAAGTGCATCCTTAAAGTTTGAAAACATTCGATGGGATACATATTTTTTAATAAAAAAAACTAAATTTTGAACAATATAGCCCTTTAACGAGATTTATATTAGTTTATTTTTTCGCCGAATGGAACGAGAACGAAATGTTTACGTACCGAAATACCGGGAAAATGCGAGCGCCTCGGACAGATGTAGTCACGCGAAACAAATTCATTCGAAAAATGAACTTCAATCAAAAAGTCCAATTTGGAAAATCAAATTAAGGATGTATTGGCCATACAGTCAATCCCAAAAGTTTATGCACTTCAGAAACGCATTTTTTAAAAAGAAATCAGACGTCGGAAGAACATTGCTAATAATAAACAACAAAAAAAAATTTTCGATTTTTCCGAGATTTTTCCAAGGGGTACCCCTTCAATTTCTTCCAAATTTTCGTTTTTTGCTAATAACTCTCAAACTGTTGGTCATACGGGAAAAGTGCATCAGACCTTTCTTGTAGAGGACGACGAGATCTACAATTTCTATATAAAAGTTTTTTGCTAGCGTTAATATTTAACGAGTTATGGACGAAAAACGAAAAAACAGTTTTTTGCAAAGTACTCGTTAACTATTGAAGGTAGCGAAAAGTTTTTACATGGAAATTGTAGATCTCGTCGTCCTCTACAAGAAAGGTTCTATGCAATTTTCCCGTACGACCAATAGTTCAGGAGTTACTAAGGAAAAACGAAATTTTTTGCCAAAAGTTCGCCGTTTCGACGCTAGGATAGTCGGATTTTGTCAACATCAATAAAATGCCAAATAATCATACGTAACTCGTTAAATATCGAAATTAGAAGAAAAACAACTTTTATTTGAAGCCTTTTTCGCAATTTTGAAAAAAAAATTTTTCCTCAGCGTCAATACTTAGTAAGATATTTCCTTCTATACTCTGTAGCACGTAGCTATTTATTATGAGCATTATTCTTCCGACGTCTGATTTCTTTTTAATTATAGGAAATGCGTTTTTCTAAGGTACATAAGCTTTTGGGATTGACTGTATAGCCAATACATCCTCAATCGCGCGGACGTGTGCGAAACGTCGTTGAAATAAATGAAAAACTACTACAAAATGTTGGCAGCCGATGTGAAAGGAAAATTCTTGGGAATTATTTTATTTTTGTAACGGGCTATGATATTGGAAACACGTCTGCAATGGTCTCTCCCTCGCGGAGTAATTCTTCGTTGAAACCGTGCAGAGTTACAATGAAATTCGTATAAACTCGGAACCGTAGAAGAGCGGTTGAAAAGTCCTATTTTCTTTTCAATGGTACGTGACTTTTCAATCGTAACGTCTACGATGGCTAATGCCCTCGTCAAAGGGAAAATATAATCGATCAGAGTTTATTTTAGAACGTCGCATTTCTTTTCTTTAAAAGGAAATTATTAACTCCTACGTGAAACCGATTTATCGAGCTATAAAATTCTCAATGAATTAACAAAATCGAAAAATGTACAACTCAAAGGATGTTAATGAGAAACAGTGTTCATTGACTCCTCCAGTTGCCTCATAAATCGATTAACTCACACTGTTCCTTTTAATCGATTTTTTTCTTGCGGTACCTCACGATCCGTTAAATGGATAAAATAGAGAGATAGATAGAGATAACTGGGTCGGGCAGCCCCCTACTGTATACACGTGGATTGAAGTTTATTAATTTCGCGTCGACTTCGAAGACAATTAAAAGTTCCGACCCTTTTCGCTATCCAGACAATTATTTCATTTGCGAGTACCTCTACAAATTGGTTTAATTCTCCTGCCTCCCGAGTATACATCACCGAAATGCATCTGCCATTACAAATGAACATCAACAATTAAATCGTCTTCCATACATTTTCGTTTTTTACATTAAACTTGTTGATTCCTCGTTCGATCTATAATTCGTGAAATACGTTAATGGACAGCAGTGTTAAACAATAATTTTTCATAAAAATAAATACTAAAAGCTAGACATAAATACCGTCGTAATTGTGAACGTAATATCCCGCGAGGAAATTAAATTAAAGGATTTCAGCGGTTGTAATTAGTCCTTTGTGCGGTCTCTCCTCCACGTGCAATAAAGCTATTTGTTTGCTGTATTTCCCCGGGAGAGATGCCATACACCGGATTGGGTTGGAACGGGGCTGGCGAATTTTACAGACGATAAACAATTAAAAACGGGCAGCTCGTGAGAAGAATGGCTTGAAACACATTTATTTAAATATACACACGTAACAGTACAAGAGGGCAATTAAATGCACCGCGGTGAAAAGGAACACGATGACTGTAAACGTGCCGGGGAATTAATCTCTTTTTCTCTGTTCAAATAAACGAACACCGCGTGTTGCGTGTGCGTGCGAAGAACCGTTGCGCTCGTTTTGGTCCCAGGATGGACAACCCAGGGCTGTCCCATTTCAATTTGCTGAAGATTAAAACGAGACTCGATAAATAATTCCTAAAATTTCCTTATAAAACTCAGCCTGACAATCCTATATGTACGTACAGTCTGCTTCAGAAAATAATGCAAGCTTCCCGGTTTATTAAAACAGAACACAATCGAGCAGTGTCGTGATAATTCGTAATTACACCGAGGAACATGTATTTATAACATTTGTGCAGATCAACGATTCGTTTGTTAAATTCTATCACTGGTTTTTACAATCTGAAGCCGGTGGTTAACAGAGTACTTGACTAGGTCCAAGCTAACATTATATGACAATGGTAATCTTCCTAACGGTATTACAAAACAATGTGAACGACGAAGATATTTCTACAGGAGTCTTAAATATAAGCTGCTTCTCCCAGCTGAGCCCTAAACGTAGACCGATTAAACTATAAAAATATTCAACAACCCAGTATCATTGCTGTAGAACTTCGCGGCTCTTGGCGAGAAATTGCAGCGCAGCAGGAACGCTGTTCCGTGTGTAAATCGGTGACACCGATATCCGACTACATAACTGAATGTGGAGACACACGTATACGTTATATACACAAAGAAATAGCGAATGCACGTTTCCGAATCACGCCTCCTAAACAGGCTATTTACTAATTAGACCACGAGAACCACGACCGACCGGATTGCGAAGGAGATTTGGGCAACGGCGACGAAGGGACCGACGACGTCGGCGACGTGGGCGTCACAGGCTTATCGTAATTCAGATTCCTTAACCGAACTTTCTCGTTCGTCTCAGCCTGCATCTTCTTCTCGTATTCCCTCACGTCTTCTAACGTCATGTTGTACCACTCGTCGATCCACGCGAACGCTTGACGATGGCCCAACAATAAAATGTCCCTTATACACTATAATAAGAGAAAAATCCAATCTCTACCGGTTCTATCGACGATCAACAGGATTTCCAATCGCTAATTACTCTGTGTATGAAGTCTTCCACTCTGGTTTGCATTCCCCAGACTTCGAACGAAGCGCGAACCACCTTGTAAGAACACATTATCGGTTGCGTGGCATCCCTCCATCCCTCTACCAACGGCCCGCGTCGGGTCAATTTCGATTGGAAAAATTTCGGGTCCTACGCGAAAATTCATATCCATAACTACAAACGTTGTTTAATCAACAGCACATCGAACAAGGGGACTGTACCTCTTCTTCTTTGTAACGTTTAGGCGTAAGTTCGTCGTACGCAATGTCTACGAAATCGACCTCGCGATGGATTAACTCGATAGGCGTCAAACCTAAACACTAAATAATAAACGCAATGAACGACAGAATCTTCTATGTATAATACTGATTTACGTACATTTTCTGTGGATCCGTTATTATCCTCGTATCGCGTCTCTATTGATATATGAAACTTTGGAATAAACGAACACTAAAAAGAATAATTTTCTATATACCAAGAGACCTTAATGATTGAACACAGACAGACGTTAACGATTCAACAGATACTTACAGTGTATTCTTCGCATATCAGAATCGGCATGAAATAAAAATGACATTATTCAATAGTACGACATTTACTAGACAAGACACACTGACTACTATAAGATATACCTGTGATAGTGAAGGGGAAATAATTCCATGCCTTCTCTGTGACATAGAATATTCGTGGAAGGACCGATTGAATCCAATATGGCAATTTACTGGAATATAATTGGAAGATAGAGAACAGAGATCTCGGGGAGGAACAACAGTTTACAGAGGAAAGATCACCTAGACAAATGTATCCTTTTCTCTGTGAATTGGCCTTTGCCATGTTCCGGGTGATCGCATTCCACGTTTTCAACTACCTCCACACCTTCGTCGTCGTCTGATTGCTCGTGGCTATGCCTGGCGATCATGTAAAGCTGGCCTATGCGATACTAAAAGGAAATTGATTTGTAACGAATTACCAGATTGAATCACCGGTTATATCTACTTCAGGGATGGTAAAAAAAAAACGAAAAGCGTACGAGAGAGATCTCATTAAAGAAATATATCTCTCGCGAGGTAGCAGTGTCGATTGATATTAAAAATTCAAGAAGAAACGAATTACCTCCTCGGTGGTAAGCGGCATGCATATGCGGTATTCCTTCGTCAATACCATGTTTCAATCGAGTATCTAACACCACTTCCAGATACCATTAAATCTATTCTCCCCTATGAGGTCCTAACTTTTCTGTCACCTAATAGTTATTCGATTCGCCTGTAATCGTCATGTAAATAGCAATCTCACTATACAGCCTGAGGCGATGAGGCAATAAACAATCGAATGGAACGAAACTAGTCGTGAATATCAAATCGATAACAAGGCCTGGCACCCTAATTTTAAACAGCTCTCCATGGGATTTTTGGGATGCGCACTGCAAGTTACTAGCAGCGTGGGTGGCCGGATAATTCAATGACTGAAACTCCTAACTGCGACATTTAATTAAATAAATAATAACAAACGTTGCGCTTTTTTGTAAAAAATATAAATTCATATGCGTAATTAAAATATATCCCAACTGTATAATTAGAATATATGCAAGCTCACACGAATGACCATTAGATAATATTTTTTTCCTGGAACGTATGTATATGGGACAAACAACAAAGTTTAATAATGTAATAAATTCATATTGTTATATAGAAATATATTATTAAGCACCGAATATACTGTTGTATATAATGTTTACCCTAACCTCAACGATATAACCTAAATGTATATCATGATGTATACAGTTTTACGTGGTTAAATAGACTTAGAATGCGACCCCAAAAATTCCAACTCCCATGCAACGCAGACAGGTAATTCCATAAATAATTGAATAAACAGCAGGGAAATAAAAATATATCAAATAATCGTTCAACACGGGTTCATCGATAAGTAATAAAAGACTTTGATGACTATTTCTAGTTTTGTACACACGGACAAGAAAGTTGTGATCGTGTCTGTGTTTGGAAAATCACAGTACCATGCCAAAGGATGCAAGACAAATATGCTCAGTTCGATACTACAAGTGGGCCTCCTGGATGAGGTGGAAGTGGACAAGGAATCATTTGTAAGAGATTCAAGACAGTATATGACTTAACATTAATAACGAGATGAATCAAATTACTATTATTATTATATTTCATAGTCTGCAATTGAGGGATACTATGATTCCAAAGAGAGAACTGTGTACTTACACCTGAGAGGACTGTTAGACACTCACACACTCCTGGAAGAGTATGATAGATTTGTAGAGAAGCAGGACTGCAAGGATTTTCTAAGCGTCTGGGCCCACATGAGAGACAAATATGCAAGAGCATTGCTAGTCCTGTTTCACATATCTCACGTCATTATTCTTACACATCCAACTCATACATTCGATTATAGTTACATGCATTTGTTCAGAGCTATGGATATCATCAGGTATACATCAACAAGCCATTCAATCAATTCGTAATTGTAATTAAGTGTTCAATTTTCAGGCAGAAAGTTTCGCCACAGCTTTCCGACGTTCTAAGTTGCATTTATAGCTTGCCTAAGGATTGGGTTTCGAACGGGAGACCCTGCTCGCCGCGAGTATTATTCTACTTCGAGACTTGTCCAGCTGTGTTTCAAGATCCCAACAGCGGAGCCAATATAAAAAAATTGGAACATTCCTTGGAAGATCAGATCTACCATGTGTTGAGGAAGAACCGTATAGTGACCAATATTAGGTGGAATTAATTAATTAAAATAATAATAATAATAATTAAGAAAAATTATGAAAATCATTCGATACAACGTAATTTGTTTCAGTTCAAACTCGCTGTTCGCAATCCCTGCGAACCAGGAGTTCGTCTACGTGCACACTGGGACGACAGAGTCCAGGGATATACTCGGTTTCATGGCAAGGAAATTGATACAGAGTTGCAAAGTTAGCTCAGGAGGGAGTACCTCCAGAAGTTTAGCTAGCCAGGATTCGAATATTCAACAGGAGGACTCTGACACCGGTAAACGAAGCTTAATATTATCATGATCATTCCTGTTCGATAACGATTCTTCATTTTACAGAGACTCGATCGTTCAGATCATTTTTACAACAGCACATAGACTTAGCTTTCGCGCGAGGGTTTGACGATAACGTTGGAAGACATTCTGTACCTGCTTACTTCGAGGTGCAAAATGATAATTACATTTATACAGAAGCATGAAATATTCATGTGAAACCAAAATGAAATGCATATTATTTTCAAGCAAATTCCTAATCAGATTTCATTTTTTGCTTAGATACCGAACGTTGCAATATTCTGCGAAGTGGCAAACAGAGTGTATGATTACTTCATCCACGGGACAGATAAAGAATTATCAACACTGCACAGCCTGTTGGATACAGACGTAAAGTTCAGCAAGAGCAGATGCAGCAAGGTGCTTCCACGAGCTCTGCAAACCTATCAAGAGAACCTGCCTCAGCACTACACGAGGTGCATACTCACTACAACAATTATACTTCTCTGCGACGTATTTAATTTGCCTCTCTATTCAATATGTTAATTTATCAGGGCGTATCACGAGACGAAGCTGGCTCACGCGATGGCGGTGTTCGAGATGCACGCGCGGGGTCCTCTCTTCGAGGAGTTCAGCGAAAAACTGCAAGGGGAATGCGAGAAGCATTGGAGGTCCGGTAGACAAATGTGCGAGGTTTTATCTTTAACAGGTAACCCGTGTACGAACCCGATACACAGAGGAGGTAGCGAAGGCGCCGGTGGTGGAGAACAGGTGGATCAGAGGGACAACGACAAGTCAGTAAATTCACGAAATAATATCATAGAATTTCTTGAGGCTAATCCCAATTACATTTCACAGTGAATTACCGATCAGAGAACATTGCAGTGGAGTTCGTTATATTTGCGCGTGCAACTGTGGCCGTTGCCAAGGTTCTAGAGAAGATCCGTTTAGTTTGAGACAGTCCAATTACGATTATTTCCAAATGCTCGCGAAACAGTGTGGCTGCGCGCAATTGGAGAACATACAGTTTCCAGTTTTCCAGCCGAGCACTCATAATTACAGGTAAAATCGCGTTTCGAGATTAAAAAGAGAGAATTCATTTAATTACTGTACGCGACCATGTTCAGATTATAAAGAGAAAGATTAATTGATTTAATTACTAAATAATTGAAGAATAGAGAGAGTAATTAGTTTAATTATTGGTACAGGCCGGCGCAACTGTTCTCCACAAAGAGAAAGGATTCTTTCAGCCACGTGGAATCGTCCACGCCTCAGGGTAACAC